TATATATATATAAAGAAATATAGTCTTAAGATGTGCTATATTTATGGGATAAAGTGCTCAATATCAGAGATAGAGCTTGTGTAAATATAGAAGTCAACACTTAGAGGCCACAGTCTGTTTCATGTTAGATGCAATCGACAGGCCTTTTGCTGTGTAAATTGTGTAACAGCAAAATTGTCCCAATCTTGCAACAGCAAAACTGTCCAATTGTTAGATTTTGCACCGTTGTGTCTTACAAAGGATTAAAGATATATTACTGGAATTCTCTGAGGTTTTTAGAACACTATTGGACTGAACTTTGAACAATAAAAATATATTTAGCTCTAAGTTGAAATAATAATCGCTCTTCCTGTTGTGACCGCCTGATCCAGATTTCCTCTCATACTATTCTCTATTTTTTAAAACGTATTCACCGTTCTCTTGATGGTTCTTGAATGTACTTTGAACATGGAAGCCAGAGTCTGAATGTTGATACGATTATTGAAGTCTTGAATGATTTTTCCACTCAACATTATTCAGTTAAGACAGTGTAGCTGAGACAAAACGACTTGAACCTGTTCTCTTTCTAGCTGAATAACTCAAAGGACTTTTCAGTGATTCTTATGACAAATGGTGTCAAGGTGGCTAAATGTCTGATCCGAAAACCTGGCAAAAAGAAACTCAGTTTAATGTTGTTTTTTTTTTGGCGGGGGACAATTATCCTATTGTGTTAAACGATTTGGACAAGTTTGCTGTTACACATGGTATATATGAGAGAAAAATCAACCAGGTTAGTGTAACTAACAGGCAACTTGCCAAAAGACTTAACACCTTAATTAAGTGAATGAAAACAGAAAAAATAACCCCGAAACTCCAAAGGCAGACATCTACCTAGTCAGTAATGAAAAGTATTCAACGCTTACATTACTTAGACGGAGCAAAAAAAAAAAAAAAACCTATCAAAAGACTCCTATCAAAGGATAGCCCAAGTTGCTACTCGAGTTTCACGCTCTCACGAGCTTCATGCGACTGAAACGCATTTTAATTGTCTGAAGATCGCAAGAACGTGAAACACTTGTCACGACTCGTGCTACTATCTATCTAGAAATTGTCATAGACCATATGCGTCCTCCTACAGGAATCGAACCTGTATCCTAGAAGAAACCGTCATATAGCCTGACGTGATTTACCGATTTAGCCACAAAGGAGCGTTTCGGTTAGAAAGGTCGATTTTACTGTTTTTAAACTACAATTCTCCATTATTTTCTCTCGTACATTCATATCTGCTCGATGCGTATCAAAATGTAAACAAATGACGTCACGCATATTTCCTATGAGAATTTCTCGAACATTCACGCCGGTAAATGTCATTAATACTGTTTATTATAAACAGAGCATTTACTTAAATATCTGTATCTATAAAAAGAACGTATAAACATAAAAAAAATTCTTAGAATAATTGTCGGACTTTGTCCATTTCATAATGTGTGACGTCATATATATATATATATATATATATATATATATATATATATATATATATATATATATATCACTATAAACGTAAATTTAGTTGATGCCCATATTTGAGTAGATGCACCGTTTATTTATTGACCAGAATATATTTTTTTTTATTTTCGTCTACTGGCCTGAATATTGGAGAAATCTTATTAAATAAAAATATACGCCCCCCACCGACAGGATTCGAACCTACGCCCTTATTTCTTAGTAGAAAACGTCGTTAAATCCGGCGTTAGAAAAGAACGGTCGTTTCCTGCAAAGAAGGACACAGGTTCTAAACGTTTGCGGCACCTCTCTTCTCTTCTTTTTAATATATATATATATATATATGCATGTGTGTGCGTGCCTATGAAGTTATAGGCAAGCAAAGTTAAATAGACACCTCCATTTTCAAACAAGAAGCATTATTTAACGACACAAACAATTGAAGTGTATTTTACCACGTCATGAAACATTTCGTGCGCATGTCATTAGTAGACTTTAAAGTTTTTTCCCGCTTTCCAGCATCGAATTTAATAGCTTTGCTATTTCCTCCTGTGAGGATATCTGTAGATATGTTAGAATAGCTGTCTGTGTAGTAGCAACTGAAATTAACTTTCAGACGTTTGACCTCCATTTTAATAGCCGACCACGTTGTCTACTGAATTACTGATTGATTTTAATGTAGTCTTTTCTTTCTTCTATGTCATAGTAAACTCATGCAATTAAGATATTTTACTGTCATTCGACAGCTTCCAACATGCACTGCGGTATTATTGCTTCAAATCTAACCTCGGCAATTCTAAGCTCACTGGAATATGAGGAAATGTGTAATGATTGGACTGTTATATTCTGCGTTTCTAAATTAAATTTTGATTTTAATTAGTATTTATTACTATTTATTATTTAGACGTATATGCAATTAGCATCTGACATGTCGTTTACAGTAGCTCTCTCTCACAGACGCGCCGTCGCTTCCCTCTGTATTTTCAACAAATACTTTAACGGTAATTGCTTCGACGAGCTACTTTCTCTGGTTTCCAAACTGCATGAATTCAAACGTGCAACTAGGTTGGCATCTCAGTCCCACCCTTTCACTGTCGAAATGGTTAAATGTAGCCGTCTCTTCTACTCCAATAGCTTCATGTCTCGCGCTTCCCGTCTGTGGAATTCCCTTCCTCTTACTTGCTTCCCTTACAGCTATAATTTCCATATATCCAAATGCAATGTCAATCGACATCTTCAGATGCCATGGTCTATTTCCTGTCCTTCTCTTCATCCTTTCCTCTATCACGCCTCTTTTCTTTTGCTCCCAATTCTCTGTAACCCCTTACGTGTTAGTGGCACTCCCGCCTTGCTTGGCGTGAAATGCTTTAAAAAATGACAATTCAGATTCTTGTAAAATTTAGTATTTCCCTTATCCCATAATGTTTACTCAACCTGAGTATAAACCATTTTTATTTGCTAATGTTTACCTCATAGAGTGCTCAAGAGTCACTTAAGGTAGAGGATTTCTGAAGACAGTTGCTGTGAGAGAGATAAATGTAAGGGGCACAGTTTATGTGGATATGTGGGAAAGATGACGGTTAAACCCACACATGTGCGGTTGGTGTAATGATAACGACTAAGAATTGGAAGTCGGAGACCCGAGTTCCATTCCGAGACGCATTCGTTATATTCACTTACGCGCAAATACCTTGGGAAAGGCATGAATCCACCTTTACTCCTTTTGGCAATGGGTTAATTAGTCGGACTTGTATCAGTAAATCATTATTATCTCCAAAAAATCTTTATATTGTGGCTTTAAATAACTTGTAAAAAGCCGTAAAACATAGTTGAAACATATAAGATTGTAGTAGCCGGGAAAGCAAGAGTTCTTCGAAAGAAACTGTCCGAGTGGGTCTTACTCCTTACTAAAGCAATACAGAAGAAATAATTTTGGTTCGCCTCAATGTCCTCGGCATGGCGGACATAAACTGGGAGGGTTAAAGTTAAGGAAACTAAGAAATGTAGCTCTTTTGAACATTCCTCATAGAAATAGAGTAACGAAAGGCTTGCAATCTTTCGGTTGCGGGAAATATGTT